AAGCAGTGGTATCAACGCAGAGTACTCAACTTAGGTTTGCATTATAGAGCGAATCACCGACCGCTCTTCATTATTGTAGGATTATGGTAGAAACTTGAAAGAGGGTTTTGGGCTATGAAAAGCCATATTTTGCCTCAGAAAAGAATCAAAACAGTCTGAAAGCTTTTACACTAGGCTAATTAGAGTTGCTGATTATAACTGTAAAGTTCCCAACTTATTATGATGCTTTATTGAAGAGTTATGCCAGGTAAGAGGTAGCGACCATTTTCTCAATGCTCCTAAAAAGTGCGGTTACACCGTTCAGAAAGCTTCGTAATCTTTTGAATAGTTGATTGTTGAACTCAGCGTCCATAATAACCCTACTACACAAGTTTCCACAATTTTTTGAAAAATGTTGAAACGGCAGCTTTTTCCACAGTAAAACCATATGTTCCAAGTTTCCACCGTAATCCTACAGTAATGAAGAGCTGTCGGTGATTCGCTCTATACTGTAAAATCTAAGTTGAAGCCAGCTCTACAAAATGGCGCTTACCGCTTCTCGAAAGACCTCATAATAAGAGAGTTATTCAAAATCAAAGAGTGTGCACATTATTTTGGGACACCCTGTATATATATATATATATATATATATATATATATATATATATGTCAGAGGGCGCGGATCACCGACCTACCGATCTTCAGTGGCGGGAAGAAAAGCCCGCGCTGACCCCTTCGGCAGGGCATAAATACCGGGAGTCAGGGGGAGTCTCAGAGTTCGCGCTGGAGAAGCGCTAGAGGGAGCTAACTCCGTCGAAGAGAGGCGGGACTCCCCCTTAGATAGAGAGTAGTAACTAGTAGCCTGCCGAAGTGGTCAAGAGGGTAAAGCCCGCTGTTTGGTTGTTAAGCTTGTTCACGTTACGCATTATTGTTCTTGTTGTTCGTTGCCGTTTTTCTGAGATAAACTGTTAGTCGTTTAATCCGTGTTGCCTATCGATCCGGTTAAAACCGCTATACCACTAGACACCCCCGGTTACATGGGGGCCGAGCAGACCTGGATCGATTTAAATACACACGGGGCGACTGATATCGACCCTCAGAGGCAAGACAGCATAGAACGTGCGTAGAACAGGCCAAGAAGGCGAAACCAAAAGACCAAAAAGGTGGGAAATCTACACGTCATCAAGCAGGTGACGTACGTAACAGGCCAAGAAGGCCAGATCCAAGATCAACTGGAAAAAAGGCTCTATCATATCATACAGAGCAGGCAGTTAAGGTATAAGGGGGAAGTGATTATTGATCAAATCATCCACGCTTAATAGAGGCGTGAGTATCGATTGTGATTGACTCTCTTCGATCAGCTGAGACGCGATTTCGCGTGCGGCGTTGATTACCGATGAATGTAAAGGCAAGGCGAAGCATCTCGCTGCCGAGTACATTCATGTTGATGGATATGGATCAGAAGCGAAGATGTGCAAATGATATCTATGAGAGAAAAGCACACTTGGTGATGGAGGAGATAAGCCTTATCAGAAAAGAAGTGGAAATGCTACCTGGGATGGTAAGCAAGGTCCTTAGCCGATGTAGGATACCGGTTGATGGATTGCCACTTGAAGAAGAGTTGGAGGCTAAGGTAGCCACAGTGTTAGGTAGACTGGAGAACCTAACAACCGAGTTAAACCAGATACTCGGTCACAGAGCAACGGCAGTTGCAGTGAGGGAAGGCAGTGTGTTGAGAGGGTCGGATGTCGGACCACTCGACAATTATCGAGGTGTGGAAGATCAGTTGCTCAGCTATCTTCAAAGCATGACTTTTCCTGATCCTGGAGTCTTCAAGGGTTATGAGGATGAAGACTTTGATAGGTTCATTCGAAAGTTCAAAAGAAAGTATGGCACCATGATCCGGGATGAACAGTTGCTAATAGAGGTCCTGGGGGATGAACACTTGGAAGGAAGGGCAAAGTCCTTGTTTTTGAGTATACCCATGGGGGTAAGACAGCAAGGCTTTGATAGAGTAGTGAGGGAGATGTCCTCACTACTGGCCTGTGACTCCACAGCAGCTAGGCTAAAGGCGCTGACAGCCTTAAGGGACATGCGCTTAAGGCCGGGCCAGGAGGTTGCAGACTTCTGTGTCGCCCTCGAGAACCTAGCAAGGAAGGCCAATTCTCAATGTACCATTGAGGAAAGATCGATGGAGTATGCACAGATTCTGCTGGAGAATCTGACATCATGGCCGGAATACGTGCAGCTGGTGGGGAACCTACACCAAGTGGATCCAGCTGAGGCATATAACAGGATTAAAGAAGTAGCGATTGAAATCGAACAATCGCGGAGGTTCTGCAACTTTGAGAGGAGGAGTGAACAGCAAGCTCCGTCCTGGAGCAAAGCAAATGGAAACGAAAGGTATGTGCCAGCTCTGACTCAAGGTCGAAGCAGCTTAGCGGAGAGAGACGGAAGGGAAGATGGTGTGAGAAGGCAGGAGTCATTGAGCTCTGATGCCAGCTATGATGAGGATCAAGAAGAAAGAAGATGCTTTAATTGTGGCAATTTCGGACATGTCATTAGAGACTGCAAATATAGGAAGACGGAAAACGAAAGCGCTACTAAGGCTTCGACTGGGGTAGCATCCATAATAAGTAGGAGCCGTAATATGGTCGCAAAAACCTCTCAAGTTGAGGCAAATGGAATTGTTGGTAGAAGAACGTCGACTCGAGCCAGGATGTTGGGAAGACAGGTGTCAGCACACATTGACACGGGTTCAGTGATAAGTATACTACCCGCGAATGTGCTTATAGAAGCAAGGAACATTGGATACGATGTCGAGTCACTTCAGACTTTCGACATTGCGGAAGGAAGCATATACGATGCATCAAACCATTTGATGAGCTTTATCGGAGGTGTAAAAGTAGAAGTTGAGCTAGAAGGTGGATGCAAAAAGGAGGTAGCCTTTCATGTTTCGGACGATACGAATGAGGAAGTACTCATTGGCACAAATGCAGTGAAGAGTCTAGGGGTGGACGTAGTGATACACAAGAAGCCTGAAGTCAAAGTAAAAGCAAAGGATAGGATGGTGCCTCCACATAAGAGAAACACCGCCTCAGTAGGAGCGAAGATCCAACAAGGTACTATAACTGTGAACAGATCTATGTCAGAGAAGGACAGATCTGTAACTGTCAACAAGAAAACTTTTATCGAGAGAAGAAGAGATGTCAAGGTAGACAAAGTAATCCGGCCAGGGGAAGCTTGTGAGCGCAAGTGGAAGAAGTCGACACGTAGGAAGGGCAGCAAAAAGCACACTCCTTCCAGAAGTGATCGAAAAATGTCCGGAGAGGCACAGAAAGGAGTCAAAGTTCAGAAGACAAGCAGTGAGAAGGGACAAAGTTCTGAGAACGAACGTCCTGTTGCGTTTATTGCACCGAGATTTGCAACATCACTTGAGGAAGTTGAGCTGAAACAGTGTGGAGTACTGACCAAGGTGGCAGTATCATTCAGTCAACTCAAAGTAGCGTTGGAATACTTGAAGAACTGTCGTATGTGATCATAGTATGGCCCATGAACCCAAGAAGGGAGGATGAGGCTATCATTGAGACATTGCGGATATGCAAGAAGTACCTCGAAAAGGAGGAAAGATTGTATCCGTGTGGCCGCCACCACTGTTCAAGAAGATTGGTATGTGGAAAACGAAGTCGAAAGTGTGGTCGGTGATTGAATCAGTACTGAAAAAATGGGCAAACCCAAATCAGTTGTTCACGTTGGATCCCTCAAGGACAGAAATTGGGAACATGAACAGAGAAGCAAATGGACCCCAAAAATTCTTTTCAGGTATACGACACGCATTTCAGAGACGGATATGCGCGCTACCACTACAACGACATTCGCAGGAGAGTTCCCGGTGCAAAGTTCAGCAAGTTGCAGCAGCCGCCGAGGACGTCGGCTCCCCGGAGGGGAGGGATGTCAGAGGGCGCGGATCACCGACCTACCGATCTTCAGTGGCGGGAAGAAAAGCCCGCGCTGACCCCTTCGGCAGGGCATAAATACCGGGAGTCAGGGGGAGTCTCAGAGTTCGCGCTGGAGAAGCGCTAGAGGGAGCTAACTCCGTCGAAGAGAGGCGGGACTCCCCCTTAGATAGAGAGTAGTAACTAGTAGCCTGCCGAAGTGGTCAAGAGGGTAAAGCCCGCTGTTTCGTTGTTAAGCTTGTTCACGTTACGCATTATTGTTCTTGTTGTTCGTTGCCGTTTTTCTGAGATAAACTGTTAGTCGTTTAATCCGTGTTGCCTATCGATCCGGTTAAAACCGCTATACCACTAGACACCCCCGGTTACATATATATATATATATCTTGTATGCAAGGCGCTTTGTCACCAAAGGTACTTTCCTCTTAAGTCGTCCGCATTTATGACTCGTCAGAACTTGGAGTCATAGCCATGGCGTTTACTTAATGATGAGAAAATTTCATAGAATTCGATATGTGTGCGAATCTGATGCTTTCAAGAGCTCCTACTTACTGTGCTCATCCTAATAGATCTACTTTCGACGGTTGTTTACATGTTGTTTACCCTTGTTCGAGGAACCATAGCATTGCTTACAATATCAAATTTGGTTGCTTCCAGATTCAGCGTTGTTGTCCGAACCGAAAACGTATCGCACTACTACATCAAAGCTGTACGAAGAGTCATTTGCTGGCATAAGCTGCTACCGTCACCATGCCAGGTTCGTTGTTGGCGCTTTCCATTCACCTCATTTATTGAGAAAGATTCGACTAATTGGGAGGAGTAAAGATGTTTCTAAGATTGATGAGTAGACGCTGATTCGTCTTTTTTTGCAGGATTAGCTATTGTGAAAAGGCAAAGCTCAAAAATTCTGCGGAAATAAAAAAAATTTATTTTATAAAAAATCTTTATCTCCTCAGACTACTGGGTAGAACATAAGTTTTGCATCAAAAATCCTAGGAAAATCCATTTGAAATACTTGGGAGAACGCTTATACTGCTAGCACTTTTTTCATTGTATAATCAACTTGTTATTCTATTATATAACATCGTAATATATACAGTGCGTTTCATGGCAATAAGGCAGTTCTCAGAATATGGATTTTTGGATTTCTGAGAGAGATGGTGCACTTCAAACTGTACCAGTATGACCTATACGTGATTTCAAAAAAGGTCAACGCACCTATTTCGATCCATTTGTCATTCACTTATGAGTATGTCTATTGTTCCATTGGTTCATAACTATAAAACAACCTGAAACAGAATGTGGCTTTCCAAGAACATGGCTGTTTTGACTCATCAGACCATTGGACCCTTTTATCACTTCATCGAGTCTATTGGACGGGCTTTTAACAGCTTTTTTGCCCAGCTCCGGATAGTGTTATTCCTTGCATCTGTAACGGACTCACTCGACTCTTTCAATTCATACTCTCAGACAACTGACCAGAACTTCCGCAGAACGTTTGAGGAAGTTCCGCCGGGTCATCTGCGGAAGTTCCGTAAACGTGCTGCAGAAGTTCCCGAATGAGGTGCTGCGTAAGTTCCGAAGAATGCGAAACACAACAGCAAAAGAGAACACCGAAGCGAGATTTGAACCTTACTCTATTACTATGAGACTCACCCACTATCCTCTGCGCTACGACTGACATAATCGATAATGCACTCCAGTTGTTGGCGAGGCAACATCATGCTAGACAACATATTCAAAACCCTGCGGAATTACTGGCGCCAAAGTGCTGCGGAACCGCTGGATTTTTCGGAAGTTGCGCAGTGCTTTGTATAAAGCCCTATGGAAGTTCCTCTTTTCATCCAGTATACGGTGGAAATACTGCGGAAGTTCCCATTTTCAACGTTTCCACTTTTGCAAGTAAACAAAATCCTGCGGAATCGCTGCAAATTTTGCTTGCCCTGCGGAAGTTCCGGTGAATTGTCTGAGCTGTTTGTATCTGCATGAAATCGTCATGGCAGTATTTTCCAAGATTTGTATAAGAGTGAGGGCAGGACGGTAGGGTGAAAATTGCAAAAGATACACGCGATACTAATGAAGAACTGCATTTTGATCTGTATGCATGTGCAAATGCGTTTCTGCGAAACCTAGTTCTGCCTCCTGCGCTTGTGGAAGGAGAACAGCAGTCGATTTTCCAGTACTTCCTGTCAATCTGCGTCAGTCGACTATTCGTTCCTTCCTTTGTCTAAGTCTCGCTGATTTGCAGAACATTTTTCGAGACGTTTGAGAAGCTTTGATAACCAACACATAGGGCAAAGCTTTTGCATTGAAGCAACCTTTTGCCTTTATTCAACTTCTCTTTAGAACTTTGCAAGAAAAGTTTCCAAGAGTTTTAATTTCGTAAAACTGCTCAATACATCCTCGCAACAAACATAAAATCTTAGAATATTGAGGTCCCAAGCCTTAAACATTGTACTATCACTGACTTTATTGAGTAAATAAGCAATTATTGCCTCAATGCAAAGGTCTTGAATTTTAGGGTACATGTGCTTCTTAAAATTGAAAAATACGCGAATTTTGCCTGCGAAAATACGCGCACAAATAATTGTGGAGCACCCTGTATCGCAAAGGAAAGACAGCTGTTAGAATGAGGAAAAATGTTTTTGGTAAACGAAATATGAAACTTGTTCACGTGACATTTTTTAAAAATTCTCTAGTCAAGGAGCACATAAAACTCATTAATTTGCAAAAGATTTGGAGAATATGCTGGCTGTTCAAGCTCTTCCAAAAGTATCCAAAATATTTGGGAATTAGCGAAACTTAGATGTGTCAAAGAAAAGGTTGCAAGCTTTAGCAAATCTCATTTTTCATAACTTTAGCGGTCGTAACTTGAAAAACAAAACGAGTTTGCCTCCATCAGCTGTTATTGCCGCGATAAGACAACAACAAATTCTTGCATCAAGCTCTCTCTACTAGAAAGGGCATCATCCTTCTTACTTCGATCATTGCAAACGGATTTATTCACTAGAAAGCCTTAAGAATTTCCGAAAAATTCCAGCGCCTTTCTTTTTTTCATACTTGTCTACTTGTCAACCCATATCCACTTCAGAGTAAAAGAAAAGTTACCTTTTATGTACATCATCTCAGTTTAATCCGGCTCGACGTTTTTCTCATTAGGTCGGTTCTAATTTCTTCAGATTCGGTGCACGTCAATGGCGCTTTTTTTCTGGCACAGCTAAGCCTGGAACTGACATGAGCCAACTCCATCAATGCCTAGTTCTGTCTGTGTGAGGCAATTAGTGGGCTAGGGTACTAAGACATAGCTCGATTTGGTTGCAACGATAACACCAAACGTTCATTTCATTCATTTCATTCATTTCATTCATTTCATTCATTTCATTCATTTCATTCATTTTATTCATTTTATTCATTTCATTCAACCACTCTTTGCACTTGTTCGAATTCCGTCCAACAATAAGCAGCCAGTCATAGATTCATCATTTGAGGCATTCAGCACCCATTATTCCTGTTTTTCAATCATTGCACTATGTGACAGTCCCGAAAAAATTGTTACGGAGAGTCCATAAACCCTTCAAATGAAGGATTTGAGGGTCTGCAAAGAATTTTCTGGTAACACTTGCAAAATTTTCACTTACGTCCGCAAACTGGTAAATCGGACTCTTTACGTTACTCCGGTCTCGCTGGAAAGGTTTTTACGTCATTGTTTTCTAGAGAAATGATAGCTCATTACAGTTTTGGATACAAATAGAATACAAATTCTATAGAATAAGATATCCACAGAATCTTATTATTCATGTAAACTGTAAACTACAAACAATATCACCGTTCGCGAAGAAAGGGGGGGGGGGGAGAGGTTGAGGCAAACATTATCTTTAGTCAATCGACTAATCATCCATAGTGACTTTCCTTTCATACTTATGAAAATCATCGATTATTATCTTTTAAGGAATTACTACTTGGTTTAGGGCTAACGCTTTTGACCACTGCCAGTACTCTGCGTTGATACCACTGCTTGTTCTCTCCGTCCCTCTTCTAAAATAAATGTTCATCGTAGAGATCACGCTTCAAAAGCGAACATTCTGCTAAATATCTCTCAAGGGAGTCGTAGCAAGTGCATTTCGGTCTTAAGTGACTTGTTGTTTATGTGAATACGATCCCAGAATGAAAAGTGGCTATGTAATTCGACTTAGGGCACTTTCTCGCCTACTCTTCTGTAACTTACACAGCTGTCCCTTACTTCCTAGGATAATTCAAACTTTCAAATTTTAAGTTTATTCAGCGTCTCGTTTGTTTTGGCTCTGTTGGCTGTTGAGTTGTACCGATGTGAAAGCGAAGTATTTCAAATTTGAAATACTTCGCTTTCTTGAAATCTTAAATCCGCTTTCCTCAAAAATTTTTGGTTTGCATTAAAGGAATCATCCCGTTTCAAAAAACTCCTTTGCGATAAATTTGTAAATAGTCCAAAAAGTCGTTTAAAGTCAGCAATATGTGTAGAAGACGCATTCTTTCTTATGTTTGATGTGATTGCAGGGTACGGGATGTGTTTAGTAATTCGATAAATCGTTTCGCAAACGTTGTCAAAGAATTGCTTCAGCAGTTCCATGGCAGATTCTGACCTAACAATAATTTTCGATTGCAGCAGCTGTAGCCATATTAATCAAGACTTATAGACTGAGGAATATAAATTTGACGATTGTTTGGGTAATGCGCTCTTAATTTGATAGTCTATGTTTCTTTTGCATGACTGTGATGTGCTTTTGAAGCTGAAGCATGAATAAAATTCTTAATTTTTAGTCAAGCATTGTTAAAAAGAATTTAACGCATTCTTACATTGTAATATTCTGAATTTATTGATCTTCAGTGCCCGTTGAGTTTATTTGACATCATTAACATCTTTCCATCTATCATTCATTCTATAACGCATTCTTACATTGTAATATTCTGAATTTATTGATCTTCAGTGCCCGTTGAGTTTATTTGACATCATTAACATCTTTCCATCTATCATTCATTCTATGACCTATCTTGTTACAGCAGCAAGCAATTCACAGTGTTAAAAAGAATTTAACGCATTCTTACATTGTAATATTCTGAATTTAATGATCTTCAGTGCCCATTGAGTTTATTTGACATCATTAACCCTTTCTATCTATCATTCATTCTAAAACCAAGAGACACGGGACCGCATTGCACACATTGTCTAAACAAGCCTAATCATGTACTTAGCAGGTTTATACTTGTTATATGTCGTCCAGGTTTATTCACTTTTTGGAAACAGGGAAACATAAACTCGAACTGGTTAAGACAATGTCCGCAATGCGGTCTCGCGTCTCCTAGTTATAGAATAGATGATCCCGTTTATTTGTTGGAAAACATTGCTAATTTTTGGTCCACGGAAGATTTATAGGAATGACGCGATTTGCTAACAACCATACTTTTCTTCGTTCTTGACATCTCGTTAATTTGACTCTCCTTCTTTTCCACTTCTCTCCTCTTTCTGGAACCATTTTGGAGCGATTTAATTCTTTCTGCATTGAAGCTTAAGGTGTTATTTCTAAAAAGACTATCTCACTCTCGAATTTGACGTTATATTAGGTCGGTGCAAAAGTTTTGTCAGTTTTTTCAATCCATCGGCAAAGACGCTAAAATATTATAAACAAACGCTCCAAAATGTATCCGATGCAGAATTTCTTGATCTTTTTAGCTTCCAAACTCCGATTGTGTCTCGTTGAGGAAGTGCTGAGATAATCGCTG